GGGAATAGTAAAGATTTCCGCCAACATTGAGCTGCACGTACTTGTTGCCAGTGACACCGCGGTAATTGCAGGTGTTAGTCTTGGGGCAGGCCACTGAAGAGACTGACACAATGGGCCCGCTTTGCGGTTGAAGCTGGGGCAGGCAGCTCTCTCCTGACATGTCCCGCTGTAGGTAGATAACCACCCTGCACACGATGGGTCTGATTTCCCCCGCCGTGGTGATTGCTGAGGAGCAGGCTGCAAGTGATGCAAAACCTACATGCTACACAACACACAAAAAGTTGTATTTTTTTTTAATATTTTATTATCATTATCATTTATACATCATTATATATATATATATATATATATATATATATATACACACACACACACACACACACACACACACACACACACACATATATATATATATATATATATATATATACGATGTTTGAACAATATGCATTATGGTAAAAATATGCAATGACTACCCATAATAACAGCAAATATGACCTTATAATTGTACCTTGATTGAAAGACCATCTAAAGTGACATATTGAATTTATATCGTGCATTTCTTGACCATTAATACATTGTTATTTTGAATTACTACTAAACTAACGTAGAGGTATCTACTTGTATTTACAAACAGACAACGCTTTCAAACAAACGTGTCTGGTCCGCTCATATGTTAATATAGAACGACACAAAAAGCACAATGACGAAACATTTCTGGACTTCAGTTAAGTTTAATGATAAGCTAGAATTAGTTGAATAAGTTAGTTTAAGTCAATTTAGTTTAATTTAGTTCTAAGTTAAGCTAAGTTTGTCGTCATGAAGAAACTTTTCCAAGCTAGAAAACTCACCCACTCTGCTGCAGTCCCTCGTTTGCGTTTAGCTGAACCCGAGGACTTGATCAGTTCGACAGTTTTACTTCAACCATTTTTGATAATAAGAAAACAAACAGGTCTATCTGAAGATATAAAAAAGCAAAATCACTCTTTACTTCTACCTTCAGTGATAATAGAACGGTGTTGATTGTTCTTCTTCTTTGAAAGAACAACAGCAACAGGTTAAACCGTGTTTAGGATCTACTGCCACCCATTGGCTAGAGCAGGGATTGTCAACCTGCTTTAATTTTCTTCTTCGTTCTAAGTTAAGCTAAGTTTGTCGTCATGAAGAAACTTTTCCAAGCTAGAAAACTCACCCACTCTGCTGCAGTCCCTCGTTTGCGTTTAGCTGAACCCGAGGACTTGATCAGTTCGACAGTTTTACTTCAACCATTTTTGATAATAAGAAAACAAACAGGTCTATCTGAAGATATAAAAAAGCAAAATCACTCTTTACTTCTACCTTCAGTGATAATAGAACGGTGTTGATTGTTCTTCTTCTTTGAAAGAACAACAGCAACAGGTTAAACCGTGTTTAGGATCTACTGCCACCCATTGGCGATTGTCAAGATTGTCAACCTGCTTTAATTTTCTTCTTCTTCTTCTTCTTCTTCTTCTTCTTCTTCTTCTTCTTCTTCTTCTTCTTCTTGGTTTTAATGGTGGTGGCATACAACTTCAAGGTGCATTACCAGCACCTGCTGGTTAGGAGTGCAGGCCTAGATCGCAAAACCCTTTTCCTAACACCTCCTAAACACCTATAGCGTCTGTCTGTTATATTCTTTTATCTAAATCAGTCATTTCCAGATATAACATTAAAAAATCAATACATTCATCATATGAGTTCCTTTGCAATATTTTTGTCAAGTCAAACTTCATCTTAATTCTTTTCAAATTAAAAACCAATATTCTCCTTTCACTATTATACTTTGGGCATTTCATTATAACGTGTTCCACAGTTTCCTCTTGATTACAATGTTCACATTTTCCTGTCTGATGTTTCCCTATTTTATTCAAGGTACTTTTAAGTGCTGTATGTCCAAATCTAAGTCTAGATATAATTGATTATTCCTTTCTATTTGTCCTTGTTATTCTACCTTTACCAACATTTATTTGGATGTTATAAAGCCATCTTCCTGTTCTTTCTTCTTCCCATTGTTTCTGCCATCTATTTTTCACATGTTGTTTAATTAAAACTTCATCTCAGTCTTACTATAATTTACTTTCATGTCTATATCTGATTTTCCTGTGGCTTCCTTAGAACCTGCTTTACTCTGTACAATATCTTTCATTAATAACATTAAACAATATGATTTAATATAAACCCGAGTTTCTCAGTTAACTAGCCTATCTTTATATCTATTTCCATGTCCTGAAATCATGTTTATTAATGATTTATAACAGGCTTTTTAACCGTTACAGACCCAGACTCTCAGTCAAACCACTTATAATAACTGTAACTAAAAACATTATCTAACATTGTTACTTGATATTTGTACTTGATATTTATTTATTTTAAATGCTGTACATATCTTCTTCGTGTTTTATTCAATATTTAATAGGTTTTTTATTTAATAGATATTCAATAGTTTTTCCCCCATTCATGTATTCCTACTAAACAAGCTTGGCATTTCAAAATAGTAATACGATTTCTCAACTATGAAGAACTTTTATTTTGAAATGTATACCCATATCACAGTGAATGTTCTAGATTTGCCGATATATATTTAGTATATCTCCATAAGATGCCATCCTTGTATCATTGTTATATATGGTAGTCATTATACACTATCTGCTTTTATTAAGAAACCAAACATTGCATTTAATTATGCTATTCGTAGTAAACATATTGGGAACTTTTAACAGCTTTTGACGGTAACAGTGACGACATTCCAAGACCAGCCTTCGCGTTGCAGTTCCTGGGTCCGATTGGCTCTCTCTGCGTGCCAATCGCAATAGACGTAACCAATCAAAATCGTTTGTTCTTTCCAGTCGCGCTCCGTGTACTAGCTGCATCATATTCAAGATGTCGGCGGTGCCTGTGTATCCCATGTGTGTCCGGGCGAGCCGGGGCCTCCTCAGACTGAGGCAGGGGGCCAGCGGCTCCACAGCCCCTGCGGCGCTGGATGTTGTCAGGGCTCTCTCCGCGGACACGTCTAGTAGCAGTGCCACAGGAGGACTGGCCCAGGCAATACTGCAGGAGAGGCTTCAGCAGCAGCAGAAAAGCCAGGTGAGCGCTATGACCGCCTGACATTCATACATGACAGGGTATTAGACAGCCAATTATCGTGTTATGGAAAAATTAGGCGTTGAGTATGTTGATGAATAAAAGACCGCAAATTGTCAAGTGGTTTTGTCTGGTTAGTAAAAGTTGACAGGTGGTGGTTTGAATGAAGTCAGACAGGCAGTCTGTGTTATGTATGACAGAGCAGTAACATTGATTATATTTTTCACATCATCAATGCGTTATATAACATTTATTCGTGAATACGTAGCATTATAAATGGTTGTAAAGGACAGAGCTGGATTACAAATGCTAATTGTATGAAGATTCTGAGTTTCTGTAAAGCTTGCCATATGAAATAATAATCAGAACAATGTATTACTTTTTAATGGAACAGTTTATTGACGCTTTAGACAAAATATTTGTAAAAAATCTTAAAAGTATACATGTGTTTTATGTTTTGTATCATATTTAATACATCAGGCTTTTATGGTGGTCATGTTGATAATTTAGAGGCCTTCTGAATTCATGTTTCAAATATTATACATGCTTTATAGGGTTAAACTTAGTTTGTTCATAATGCAAAAAATGCAACATTACAATTGAGTGTAGTTTAAATTTCTTTTTTATTACTTTCACATTGAAGCTGTGCCGTACAAGGTCAGAGCCCACTTTTGACTGTTGAATGCAGAAAAGGGCTGAAGGCTGAATGTCTGTCAAAGGGCAATGGGACAGCTCCTCAGACCATTCAAAAATAATGGAATTGGTGCATATTAGGAATTAGTCACTCACAGAAATAAATATTCAAACTGGCTGCTGTGTAACATTCCATGTTTAAGATGGGACTCTTGTTGAGAAATTGACTTAAAACTCATGGTTTGTCAGTTAATGCTCATGATCCCAGGCAGCTGTAAAGTAGGATGCGTTTGACACTTCATTCACAGGGCCAGCCTCCTCCAGAAGGTGATTACTCTGATCACAAGAAAAATGAACAGGGTGAGGACAAGAAACGGAGTGAGAACACGGCATATGCTAAGAAGGTGGTCCTTCGGTTAGCAGGAATTATGGGTCTTGGAAGCACAGTTGGCATCATGTACATATTCGGTGAGTTTGCCTGTTGCTTTCTTTCGCTAAGGGTGGCACCAATGCATTAGAATGTTATAAGTTTGAAGATTTTCTTTGAACATTGTTGAATTATTTGAAAGTTTTGTGACTGGTGTGTTCGGATTATTCAAAACATTTTTAACTGGCAATGTTGGATTATTGGATTATTCTGTGGATTGTTCTGGATTATCATGAGGGTTTTTGGATGTCACTTGTTACTGTATTTTGTATAAAAATATCATATGTGCTACTCTGGTTATTATTATTATTATTATTAATACTTTTTGAATTGGAGGATTAAGTTGTGGTAATGGTAAATATTTATTTAACTTGCATATGTCCTGTCATTTATTTGTATTTATTTGTGTTTTTACTTATTACCAACCATTTAAAACATTTTTGCATTTAAGTCCAAATTATTATTTTACTTAAAAATAATGAATTGATAAGGGTATAAAATTGTATGTGTAAAATATCAGAAATGTTATTGTGTTTATGATGAGTTGTGATATTTTCAAATAAAGATTAATATGTGTCAAAAAAGCTAAGATAAGATTGTAATATCTATTAGATATTTAATATCTCATTTAATGTTTTTTTTTTTGCTTAAACTCTCAGTTTGAAATCATGAC